AGAGACTTGTGCCTGGGAACTGCTGTCCCGTCTGAGAAGATTTCTGCAAACAGGTGCTGGCAAATAAACCTTGCTGATTGAACCTGCATGGTCTCCAGGAGTTCTTTGGGCTAGGCCTGACAGCTGGTCACAGAACCAACAAAATAAGAAATAGCCCTGGACTTCCAATTGTATCTACTGTCCAGGATCAGCATGAGATATGAACCTTGTTAAAACAATTGAAACGAGCAGCCTGAACACTATCCCTTTTGATTTCAACAGAGAATATCTACTTAAAATTAGTCATTAATAATAGGTGTGAGCAGCAATCTAGATTTGAAGGGGAAAAAGTGATTTCCACCTACCAGCATCTTTTTAAAATGAAATGTGTCTATAACAAGTTGCTGGCAGACACATTCCTCCAAATCACCTTTTCTCCTCTGAATCCAGATCACTGCACAGACATCATTAGTAATAATCAGATAAAAGAGGAAATCAAGAGGAGAAAACCATTCTCGAATGCTTGGCTTGTTCAACAGCATTGTAAGAAACACTGTGTAAGGCAGGAAAATCCAAAAGACTATCAACGCAGCACAGTTAATAAGCAATGTCTGGCCACGATAAGAATGAAGAGAACAAATCTGAATAAAATAAATGTAAGGGCAAAATTACAGATTTCCAAAGGGATTTTAAGCAACATAATATCTTTGAGCAGCATATCATTATTTATAATACAAATTACTCATTAATTTATTTTGTTGGTGTGAATTACACCAGAACTGGGAAACCATCTAGAAAGGCACCTGGTCAACTAGGATGACAAGGGGTGGAAAAATAATAACAAAAGGAAGATAATGAGATTGCAGAGAAGCAAAATAAAGTTTTTGCCTGACTTTACTTCAGCAGATGTAGGGCAGATTCCTGAGCTGATATTTTCAGACAGAGGAGATTTCTGAAAAACTGAGTGAACTAGTTCTAACCCTTAATAATTAGTTAAAAGCAAAGAAGTCAATGAGGGCAGATCAGACACAATCAATAATTCTTAGAGAATTCAAATATGCAACTGCTGATCTTCTAGCAAAGATAAATAGTTCCCTAAGAGCAGCATCTATACTAGAGAAATGTTGATTTATATTGTAAAGTTATATCTTACAAAAGGACTCCAGATAAATTGGTAAGAGTATCATTAAACACAACAGAAGCTCTTACAGAAGAAGAATCAACGTTGCTTTTGTAAAGTTAAGTCCTGCCTCACTAACCTGGCATTCTCAGAGAGGAACTTTAAAGAGGATATTGTAAAACAATCAAGGATACAGAAAAGTCAAATGAAAATAATCTAGGATTTGGAGAACACTACTGAGAAAAGCTTACAATATAGGTGCTTTTTAGTTTAAGAACAAAAGGATCACATCAGAAAGGAACTAAACATAATGTATTGTCGAAGGCTTTCACGGCTGGCATACGATGGCTGGTGTGGGTCTTCCGGGCT